ACTAGTTCCCAGATTTAGTCACATGCAACATTTCTAATGGGGAAGATTTTTTCCCCCCTTTTGACTTGAAAATAAAATGTGGAAATTTCTGAAAGCCAAAGACACCTGGAAGCTGCTAAACTCACAGAATGACTCAGCTTGCCACTTCTCAGAAATTTAGGGCATGAAATGAAACCGATCATGGGGCAGGGTTTTCTTCCAAAGTTTTGTTTATTTTTAGCCATCTGCATTTCTCACAGCATTAGCTGCTGTTTCCTGAACCCTATATTCTACCATAAAGGTAGGCAAAGCCAGAGGTTTCACTGAGGTCTATATTGTTTGTTCTTTGCTGCAGCTTTCTGGTATGGAGTTTCTGAAGTTTTTACTCTATTGGTTTTTGCACTCAGTCCTTACACTTAAGCAAAATACCCACAATGAGAATTTTTCCGGAGTACGAACTCCAGGACTTTTCCATGGTGTCAAAGGAAGGTGAGAAGTTAATGGAATAAGAGCTCTTGCTTGCAGTCTGCAGATTTAAAGGTCTGAGGTCAAAGCATTTTTAGTGGAGGACCCTCTTCTCTGGAAACTCAGTTGGTCCACTGAATTAAGAACTGATGTAAAGACTTGCATAATGGAAGCCATTTGCAGTGCACTGCAACAAGCTATACTGGTCCTATGGAATCCAGGACACGTTATGTACTTCCAAACCCCATCTATTAACTATTTACTTATATAGAGACATGGAGTGGACACATCAGAGTTGGGGTCTCTTGATCTTCAAGCCATAAAGCAATGCCTATCTATTTATTCCTGGCTTTTGCCAAAGTATGGTTGTGTGGGCTGGTTATTTTAATAGCTTAATTTAGGGGAGCGGAGTCAACTCCATTTATTTTGGGTGGACATTGGCCCTTGCATGTCTCTAAGGAACCATACATGCTCCCAGAGAGTACGACACGTGGGTTTTGTTAAATAAATACATTAATTAATTAAAGCAGATACACGATCACATTCACTTCATAAATAATGCATGTTCATTGCAGGCATAGCAAAATGCTAACAGATTGCTTTGGCCTGCCTGTATTGTAATGGCTGTTACCATTCTGCCTTAATAATAAATATAATAATAATAATATTTTGCACTTACATAGTGCCTTAAATCTAAGGACCTCCGAATGCCATACAAAAGTAAGTAAGCACAATCACCACCAGTTTGCAGATGGGGCAGCAACTGAAGTACAGGGAGTTGAAGGATGGGATTAAACTGGATATAGTTTGCACAGCCTGAAAGATTTTATTTTTTTACTTATTTGTGACAGTGCCTAGGAACCTTAGCCCTGGACCGGGACCCTGTTGTGCTATGTGCTGTATAAACACAGAACAAAAATGTGGTCCTTTCCCCCAAACAACTTACAAACATTATGGGCTCTCTTTTGATGTCTAACCTATAATGACCTTGGGCAAACCCTGGCATCTTATGTATGTGAACAAGAATCTCACTTGTCATCTCTTTGGCTGATGACAAGTCATCTCTTTTTCCTTGCAATTGTGCCATCACTAAACTAAGGAAGAGTTTTAAGGGAACAAGAAGGTAATATGTTATCAGAAAGACTGAGGCCCAAGTTTCCAAGAGTGACTAGTGATTTTGGGTGTACGGCTGGGTCAGCACTTCTGGGAGAGGAAAAAATGAAGCCAGACCTATTCAAATGTAGAAAATTAAACCAACCATCAAGGGTCTTAGTACAGCAGACACTCTGTTCTGTCAGGTTCTTCTACCATGCCCATCATTGGGGTAGGATTGCCTTCCAGTAAGGCAGAGGCGAGAAATAAGGTACACATATTTTACAAAGAGGGTAATTACACATTGGAAAAACAAATCAAAGAATGTGGTGGATTTGCTGTTACTTGAAGTCTTTAAACCAAGATTGGATGTCTTTCTAAAAACATTTTCTAGCTCAGACTATTGGGTAAAATTCTATGACCTGTGTTAGTCAGGTGGTCAGACTAGATCATAATGGTCCTTGCTGGCCTTAAAGTCTATGAACAGTATATTAAGTGATGTGACTAGCACCTGTCTCATATGGACATCAACATCATAAATCTAATAGTGACACAATATTGCCCCAGAAAAGCCAGCAATCATGGAAACCAAGCCTAGAGTATGGGAAGATGGATGGAGAATGATTAATCTGTTTCTCAGCTTTCTCCTGCTGCTCCCCAGATCACACTACGCCAAGGACAGGTGCCTCATGACATGAGGAGGTTTATACCACAGTGCAACCTTGGGAGCAACATTAATCGAACACTGTAGTTCACCCCTGCAAAATTCTCCTGGTTCACCGTAGCTTGCTTGGACAAATTCCCTGCTCTGACCCAGCAACCCCTGTTTTTTCCCTCTCCTGCTGTGCTCTAGATGTGCATTGATCCTCTTTAAGTTCTCCAAGCTTGCGAGCTCAGCAGAAAAGGGCAGGAGAAGCATTAGATGTTGTTTTCCTCTGGGCTGGGAAGGGAGGAATTCCATTTGAAAACCTGATCTATTTTCCATTGCCGAGAAATGGATTTGGAGCCCGTAATACATGAAAAGAGAAGGTGCCATGCTGGCCTTGGTATGCTAATGCCACCTAATCCATGAACTGCCTTAGCTTTTTTCCAGTCCCCATTTCAAAAATTTAATCAGGGAGAGTGCAGAAATTTTCTAAGGAGGGTTAATATCCAGATTTCTCTCTCTCCAGAGATAGACCCAAACAAAAATGCTGCATCTAAAATGCTCTCAACTCTGATGAAGTTCAAATCTGAACTCTGTAATTCAGACACCTCTCTCTAATACTAACACACACATACACACACACATACACACACACACACACAATATCTCTCCTGGTGTTTTCAAGACCATCCCTATCTGTATCCTTAACTATCATTTGAATGACACTGAATGTTTACAATGTCAGGGGACTTTTTTCCCCAAATGATCACTTTCTACAAGAGAGGCCATTGTAAGGTCATTCCTAACCTGCTGGTACAGAAATGCTTTCATCAGCACAACGTCCTTGAGACTTGGTGTTGCTAAAGCAGCACCTTAGATTTGCAAATGGAACTGGACCTAGTGGAAGTGCTTTTGCAAGACTGGGAGTGGACTTGGAGCCTCAGAGAGATGTGTTGATGGTATAACCAGGGCCGGCTCCAGGCACCAGCCTAGCAAGCAGGTGCTTGGGCGGCCAAGGGGAAGGGGCGGCACGTCGGGCTGTTCGGCGGCAATTCAGAGGCGGGTCCCTCTCGGAGGGAAGCACCTGACACCGAATTACCGCCGAAGAAGTAAGCGGCGTGGTGGAGCTGCCGCCGAAGTGCCGCCAATCGCAATTGCGATCGGGGCTTTTTTTTTTTTTCCTGCCGCGTAGGGCTGCAAAAACCCTGGAGCTGGTCCTGGGTATAACTCCTCCACCAGACCACTGGAACAACATCTGGGTCAATGGGACAACCTGCTAGTCAGGGGTAGAAATAGAAAAGGACATCATATGGTTCCTTAAATTTACTTTTTTAAAAATGTAATATACATATGCTCGAAGCCCACAAACAGCTAATAAGAAAATTATTGTTTTTCCTGCAAAAGAACTGAGGAAAACAACAACAAAAAATAATACATTTTCTTGGAAATTTTTCAAGTTTTGGTGAAAAGCAAAAAACTGAACTCTGTCTCTGAGCTGCAACCCAGCCAATGCACGCATATCTCGTGGTGCCACCAAAACTTAGGACAATAGCAACTCCAACTCTAACACTAGAGTCAGAGGAACAAGTGTCAAAACATCCCCAGCAAGCCAGTTTTCGGACGGTTGTTCCCAGAGGACAGGATAGCTTCGGGAAAGGGAAAAGAGTGACTGTCATCTTTTGGTTAATGGTTTGAATTACAGCCAGGTTAGTAGAGACCTGCATTCCAATAACACCTTCTATCTCAGACTCCGGGCTTGTCTACACTGCAAAGTTGTTGACAAAACTTTTGTCTTTCACAGGTGCTTAAAAAAGCCACACACCCCCCACGAAAGACAACAGTTTTGCCAACACAAGTGGCAGTATGAACGCGGCTTTGTCAGGAGGACAAAGCTAAGGCCGCTCACAGGGCTGGAAGTATTTTGTCAGCAAAAGTGCCGACAAAGTACCGAAAAAGAGCGTTTACACACACTGACTTTTAGCGACAAGGCTGTGTCGACACAACCTTGTCGCTAAAAGCTGCGTGGTATAGACAAGCCCTCAGAGTTCCTCATGAATTAAGCCGCATGATGCCCTTGTGACCCAGATGAGCATTAATTATCCTCTTTTCTGCAAATGAATAAACTGAAGCACAGAACATCTAAGTGACTTGCCGAAGTCTGTGGCAGAGCTGGGGACAGAGCTCAGACCCCACCTGGATTTGCAGATCTATGCTTTAGCCACAAGGCCAGCTTGCCTCTCACTGTCCTCTTATTGCCATTTGACAGATGTGCAGCATCCTATATGACATTAGTTAGAGAACTTCAGTCCAATTCCTAAGGGAGAGGGGAATGCGTCACAAAACCACTAGCAAGTTTGGCATTAACTGGCCCCTGCCTTGGCGGTCTCAGCAGAGATGCCAAGGACTGATTGGGCCATGAAGATTGAACTCCCCTCTCCTTCTCTACAGGGGGACTCTGCAGGCCAGGGTTCAGACACATGGACAGTGTAGCATAGAGGAAGACTGCCCATCTCTTGGCGTCTTCAGTCTCCATGGACATCAGTCTGACACTTTTCACCAGCACTAAACTCGCTTTAAAGGTATGTAACGGGTGGCAATCAGAGATTGAATCTGGCTCTAAAAGCATGAGTCACTACTGTCTGAGCTAAAAGACTGCATCCATTAGCTTGGCGTCAGCAACAATCTAATATACCACTTAAAATACCCCAGCCACTAGAGGGGGACAAAGAGGCTGAGCCCTCTACAGGTAACAGCGGGCGCTATTGCCTTTTCCTAGCGGGAGGCTTCTCAGCTGCAGGGAATGGGAGGTTTGACATACCTGCTTTCACTGTATTCCTTCTTCTCTCTCACGCGCAGCCACTTCCGCAGCAGGACGCGCTTGCGCCGCGGGGAGGCGCTGGGCGTAGAGCAGTTCGACCATGGGGTGTCCTCGTCACTGGATGGGGTGATTTCTATGGATGGGAGTTGCAGAAACTCTTTGTTGGGGGAAGGAGAGTCCTGGTACCCGCCGGCCTCCAGGCTCTGCTCTTGCACGTTCTTCATCCGTCTCATCTTGAAGCGCCTCCTGCGTAGGGTGGGGGTGGACGAACTGGACCAGGCCCGGCTGCACTCTGGCACCTGTTGCTCTGGGACCTGCAATGCCGGGAGCTGGAGGGTCTCTGTCATATTGGCAGCAGGCATCAGATCCCCTTTCACCTTCCCCTCCCACCTCTGTGCTATCTCTCAGATCTCACTATAAACCAAACCACAAGCTAAAAGCTGCCCTTCTCCACTCCTCCCCAGTTCAGCATGTTCCCACCCCTCGACAAGGAAATCTCATGTTTCTCGGTGCTTTCATTTAACGTGGGTGCAGGGGGGGATGCCAGTTTCAAAGTTTCTCTTTTGTTTTCTCCTCCTTTCTCACTGAGAAGCAACTTCCTCTCCTGCCTGGTCTCTTTCAGGGCAGTGAGTTTAGCCTCTGCTACGAGGACTGCTGACAACCCGCTGGGTTCTCTTGGCTTTTTTCATTCTGCTGTTTTCTCTGCTCTTTGCCCAGTCGTGGCTCAGTGAACACTCCTCCGGAGCTGTGCTGGAAAACAGTCTTGGGAGACCGAGAGCAACGTGGAGCTGTGAGGAGGTCAGAGAGAGAGAGAGAGAGAGAAGGAGGGAGGGAGGGAGGAAGGAAGGAAGGAAGGGAAGCAATGATACTAGATAAAATCGGAGAAGGGGGAGGGTGATGGAAGTTCTTTTTCTGTAGCAGATAAGACATGCACAGGCAGCTGCTGCAAGTGTAACTGCACTCCTAATCCCGAGGGCTGGGTTCTGTATTACCTAACACGCCTCTACTGCCATCAGCCTAATGAAAGAGGATAAAGGGGGGAAATAACTTCTCATGCAAGCCGATTGGCAGAATTCCCCTTTGTCCCACCTTCCTATTTGGTTGTCCCACCCTTCAGAGGGAGGGGAAGGAGTGGACCCCAAGTTCCATCATCTTGTTACTGCATATATTATTTTTCACCTCATTTGAATACACAGAGAGAGGGGAGAAGTAGGGAGAGAGTTTTAGGAGGAGCTAAAAGGCAGCAGCGGCACTGGGGTTGGGATCCTGGCTGACTTTGTTTTTCCAAGGGTTCATGGAGACTGCTTCCAAAATGACACACTCAGTGATAGATGGTCCTGAGTTTAGGAACCGACACTGAGAAGACAAACACCACACAGAAAGACAAGAAGACATGCAGGACAGGCCTGAGAAAAATACAAATACACATTCTCCCGGGGGGAAGATTCCCAGGCACTGACTAGAAGACCAAGAGGAAATGAAGGTTTCTGTCAAGGGTTACACCTGAATAGCTCAATGGAAGAGCTTTGCAAAACTTTGGGAATGCCAAGCCTGGCAGAATGTGCTGTGTCCAAGGGATCAATACGACTCCCCCATCAGCTTCACCAAAGTTTTGCTGAATGGCTTCAAGCAAGGCTAGGCTTAGTTATGGTTTCACCTGAAAATCATGCAAATCTCAGCAGATTCTGTCATGGATGTGCCTGGGAATTTAGACCCCACAGCCAAATACAGAGCTAAATTTCACTGCTTGTCTTCACCTCTGAAATGGGCTGATCCCAAACCCCAGAACTGAAGATCCCCACAGCTGGGGCTTGGAGGGGGAAGGACTTCAAAATCCGGAGCTGAATTTTGAAGCTCGGTCCTCACCTCGGCTTCCAACAGTTGGAATGCACCAAGCAAAACCAGCCAGATTACAAGCAGGTGCGAGGATTGAGAGAAGGAAGATTTGGGTGTGTGGGAAGGAAGATCAGGGAGATAAGAGGGTTCACTGTTAATTAAAAAGAAAATCACTAGTTGGCAGCCTGAGATCACTCTATTTTGCAATCCCCTTCATTCATTGCTCCTCCTGTGGCTCAGAAATTAGCTAGAACTTCAAGCACCATCTATATTTATCCTATATTTCTAGAGCATCCAACACCATGGTTATCTAGATCACTTGCATAAACACGCAATCAAAATGATACCCCCCCTCCGTGAACGGCCACATATCTCAAAAAGCACAAAACACCATTAATTCAAATAAAACACAGAGACTTAAGGAGACAAAAGAGCAAAAGGTTTATTGTTTCGTGTCCAGCACAAACACCGTTGTATTATTTGCTCATTACAAGGATTGACACCTTTATTTTAATATTTTTCTATAAGACGGTGAAACCTGAACTCACAATTACCTGAGTCCTGCAGTCACCTGTTGTAACAGCCAATGCCATAACAGGTTCCATAGTAAGTCACCTTGTATTCAGCAACCACAAGTCTGACGTTGTTACTAGCCACCTGATGACTCACTGAAAATTTATTGTGAGCATCCTACTAGGATATGTGGAAACCAAAAGCCTATAATACAGTCCCTAAAGTGCAGCATACAAGGAAGTACTGTAGCTACGGTTTATTCTAGATTGGGTTATTGTGTTGTTTTGCACTGCTTTATTCCGTTGAGAGGAAAAAGGAATTGCGGGCGGGAGGAGATGAAAATTTTGTTTCTGTTTTTCATCAAAGTTTCACTATCAGCGAAGTTTTTGAACTCTCTGCCCACTTCTAAGGTATTGCAGCATGTAAATGAGCAGTCCATTTGTTGGCCACCATTACCACATGCCTTAGTGGGTCTGATTTGCCTCTGGAAACCTTTGTGAAATGTGGGAGGTTTATTTGGATGTTGTATTAGTGACAGGTAAACCAGCTCAAGAACGTTTAATTAATTCCCCCTCCCCAACCACACACACATTCCCGCTTTAATAATAAAACACACAGAGCATGTTACACCTTCATGAGGCTCCAACCCCAAATCCTCCACCTCCAAGGCACCACCAGGATTTGCCCCAGCAGAAGGTTCTTTCCCCAAAGTCTATCTCTGATCTCTCAAAAATCTGATTTCATCAGCATACCATGATTCTTCCCCATATAACAAAGAATCCCTGAGTGCAGAATTCTCCCTATTTCATATCATGAGAACCTTCCCCAGTGAGACACAACCAGTTGGACAAGCATAGGGTCTGCCCCTTTAACTCTAAGTGCTTCTCTGATTACTAAACAATACTTATTTATGCTTGAACATTCTGGGTCATTTTTATTTTGGACAGTGGACACGGGACACCTCTCTGATGCGCTCTGAAAACCAGAAGCTATGTAATGAGAGAGATAGCTCAAACTTCCTGACCTACAGTTTGAAAAATACCATCCACGAACAGGAATTCTCACTGTGCAGCACACAAAACTGAGAGATGATGCTGTTCCTCTGAGAGTCTTTCTTTGCACTGCTAGGTCTCTGCACCGTTTGATTTCGGTTATCAGCCATGTTGGTAGAGTTATATCATCTTGGAGAGGATTCACATTTTTTAAGAATACTGCCAGCACCATCTAGCATGGCTCTGGGACCCTTAGCTCCTCGCCAGGACATGGCACAGGAATTATTCTTCAGATCAGCATCAGAATTGGGGGATAGGTAGATTCCTTTTTTCCTAATTTTGAACCTGTTTGGAAGTTTGACTCCAGCTCAAACATTCTGGAGTTTGCAACCTGCTTAGGAGAGACTGTGAAAAAAGGAACAGAGAAAAACTAAATAGACTCTATATACTGGATATAGATCATTTACTTGTACTAATCCAGATCCTATGGGCTCCTTCTATCCCTACTACACAGGTTAGATTTCCCATTAGTTAACTTTCTTCTAAACTAAATCATTCTTGAGAAGGAAGGAGGGGAAAAGACCCAGATAAAATACAGGAACAAATAGTTGTGAATTCCAAATAGTTTGCAAATGCAGAAAAATCCTGAAAATGACTTCAGGAGATTAAATCCTTCAGATGTGTGAGATTTGCCCTCCCTATACTTTGAGAAATCTTTCAATTGGAGCAGGGAGATTACTGCAAATATAATGCTTGGAAATTTTCACCAAATCCACCTTTCACCAAATCACTTTTGCAGCTCAAAAAGTTTAATTTGCTGAACATTTCCCCCCTCCACACACACACACACACACCTCAAAAATGGCAGTTTTTACTAAATCTGCCATGCTTCAGGCAAAAAACTGATCCTGTAGCGACAAAATTTTGAATTCAAAATTCCAAAATCACTGAAGTTTTTCTCTATGAAATTTTACAGGGTGTGTGTGTGAAAGAGAGTGCATGTGTGTGTGAGAGAGAGAGAGAACTTCAAATAAAAAGCAAAGACCTCTGTTTACATGTGGGGGGTGGGAGGGTTGTTATAAATATTATGGAAAGCTCTACATTCTCTTTGGCATCCCAATAAAAGTTCTCTCCTTCTGTCTGAAGGCCCAGCACTGGAACACTCCCTTAGAAATGGAATCCCTAAAAACCCTGGGGTCCGTCCAGTGCACACATACCCTGACACCTTCAGTTGGAATTAGGATTTGGAACATGATGCTCTTGTGGATACAGGGATGGATGGTGACTCAGGAGATTGGGATTCTGTACCTAGCTCTGCAACAGTCCTCCAGTGACACTTAAATTCTGTACCCCAGTCTTTCCCCATTTATAAAATGAGATAATAGTACTTCCCTGCCTCATGTGGATGATGTGAAGATACATTTCTTAGCATATGGGAAGTACTCAGATACTATCATGAAAGCCAATAAATAAATACTAATAAGCTGCTTGTTATGATCTACCCATTCTGACTTGCCTTTACTCCCATAAAAAAAATATAGGGTCTTCCCCTTTAAGTCACTATTACCAAGCAACAGTTGTTCACACTTGAACATACTGCGTCAGTTTTATTTTGGACACAGGACACTGGTCACCTGCCTGCATGTGTTGTTCCTTGACACTCAGAGGCTCCGTTGTCAGACAAAAACTTCTGTCTGTGGGGTGAAAAATACTAGCCACAAACTGAAAATTCCCAGTGTGTCACAAAAATAAGACAGAGGTAGTTCTGCTGCATTTATTCAGTTCCTTATGGGAAGAACCAGGCTCTTTCCTCACAAATAATCTGATAATGAGAAGTACCCAGTATCTGCAATTCAGAGTCGCAGATGCCCAGCACCTATCAAGACTGGCCAAAACTAAGTCTAATCCTTAGTCTCCCAAACCAACATTGTGAAGTGAGAAAGGAATACATTGTAACACCAAACGCAATCTATGCTGCCTGTTCAGACAGGAGGAGCGATCTCATTATTCACTAGTCAAAGCTAATAAAAATACATTCAGTTATATCCCCAGCCAATCAGAAACCAGCCTTCATAATTAAGTGTACAACTTGACCTTTACAAATAAACTGGTATTTGCTTGGCTGAAGATTTCAATGAGTCTGTCCTCTAAGTCAGTAAGAATCAAGCAGGTCAATAATGGTACAGTAAGCAAATGCCACTCTCTTGCACCAGTCCTTGTTAGATACACTGACAGTCTTATTTGGGATGCTACAAAACATAGTGATTACAATAGAGCATTATCATAGGATCAATGTCTCCTGCATTATTTCCCACAAATGGCTGGGAATTTGCCTTTATCCTGTCACAAAGCTTTGTTACATTGACACCAGATCTTAAAGACACATTGTTCAACATGTCTAGCCTGAAACAAAAGTACAAGTGTATATGCGATACAAGATCAAATAG